GTTTTCAAGCTTTTGTTTTGGTTATATAAGAAAGTTTTCTCATAACAGTTGATGTGCATTTAAGAATAGAATATTACATCAGACCAATCATAAAACATAGATATTTAGGGTTTATGACAAGGTTCTGATAACATAATAGATATATAAAATAACTCATATTAGTTTTGTCACAGATATGGAAATGACACAAATCCCCTCTATCTATACATTAGATTTGCTTTGAACATGAATGGAAAATTTATTTTGGATTTTTATTTATTTATATTTGTTTAACTGCTCATTTTTCATGGTAGAATGATCATACAACAGACAACCTCAATGTTTTAAAACCAAGAATTTGTTGCACAAATTAAGATCTATTTTTATCCACATGGGATAAAAAAAATTATACATGCATTCATAAATATATACATGCATCCTCATTAATTTGGATAAGGGCCCAACCTTTTAAACATGGGCCAAAATCAACAATTTCAAATAAAAAACAAACTTATTCTCTTGTGACTGATTTTCTTCTTACCTGCTCAGCAATAAATTTAAAGGGCACTATTTTATAGTATGCAAAATATTTGCCTTAGTAAAAGATGAGTGGTCAGTTTTCTAACTTTTAAGGTCAAATGTTTTCTATTTTGTTGGTCTAAAAATGGGATATGAAAATCCAGAGTCACATGTGGCTTTTTGGCTGTACCACAGCAAAAGTGCCCAGACAGTAGAAAGCTTTTGAAAGCAATTTAATGTTTTTTTTTTTTTCATCCTGAAACTTTTATGAGAGGTACCTATGAATCTTTAATCTCCTTACTAGCAGAAATCAGGAGTCACTCTGCCAACATCATTAAATTTTTTTCTGAAATAAATATAATTGCAATGGTCTTAAATTTCAAAATATTTTTATTTAAGAAGATGAAAATTTGACTTTAAAAGTCAGCTTCAGCACCTGTTGTTTGAGAACCAGATTCAGATTGAAAGGACCACAAATGGCACACCGACCGCACTTTGGACATCCCTGTTCTTGAAGATTTAGCAGCACTAATTGAAAGATTTGATTGAATGCAAATAATAATAATAATAATAATAATAATAATAATAATAATAATAATAATAATAGACTTTATTTATTGTGCTCTTCATATCTTGAGATCTCATTTTAGCCTGGACAGGTTTGATCCCATTGTCTAACCCAGTTTCTGGTACAAAAAAAAATAAAATAAATGGAAGAAAACATTGCAATTTTTGGTTATATGATCATTCATCAGATGAAGAGAAAAGAAAAGATCAAAAGGAGAAGTTAAAAGCGGCTCCATTGTTGCTGTGGTTTCCAGCTCACAAAGCTATCGTGAGTGAAATAGGTTTCTAGGTCATTGAGGAGTATATAGTGGCTCACCAAAAGAAGAAAAAAAAATCCCAAAATGAATAAAAAAAGAAACAAAACAGGTTCTTGATGTTCTTTTATAGGATGCTTTTTTTTCTCCCCAACAAAAAACGTTTTTGCCAGTTGTTGGGATGCAGACAAATCTTTAAAACTCAAATTAAGTACTGAAATAAAATATCCTCCATTTTTAAAATATTATGACATGTAAATGGCTGTAATGATATAAGCAATAATTTCACTTGTTTCAATGTTCCCACCATCAACAACAATAAGTGAGAAACATGTAACATTTTGTGGCAAGTCCTGAACTTGTGCTAACTGCATAACTCCTGACTTTGAATCATGTCTACAAGGTTTTTCTTTTTTTTTTTTTTTGGGTGAATCTTGGACAACAGAATAATTACAATGTTGTTTTGAGGGTGTTTCTTTCTTGAATCTCTCTTGTTTTCCACCAAACATGATTCTGTGTTGTTGTGGCTGTGACTGGGTCGACAACAGCAGGTATCTGTCTGTGTGGTTTTACATTCTTCTATTTGTTTTAGACATAAAAGCTGTTACAGAAAATATTAAACAAATAAAACTCAAAGATATTGAGTTTTATCCCTCATGCTTCTCAAATTTAAATCCATTTAGTTAATGACAAAAAGGAAGTTGTTTTATGTGTTTTGGAAGATCATTTTTAATGATGTTTTTCATTAGCTGTAAACTAAGAAAAAAATCACAAGCCTGTCAATTTTCCCCTAAAATCTTGAATGATCTTTGCTTCACAGTCTTCTTAAGGGTATCCCTGTTGAGCGCCTACCAGTCTTTTTTCCTTCCACTAAATTTTCCACTAATACACTTGGATACATGTAGCTTCTTTAGGCTTACTGCACCACCATCAATATCAGAGACTGTCTTTTGGACAATGTCCATCCAGAGTCTTTCCCATGACAGTGTAGGACTTGAAACATGTTTATAAAGCCTTCCTTCTTTCACTCTTTGAATCGAATTACTCAAATGAATTAACTGCACTCGAATGTATTGCAGTACTTCTGCTTTAGAAGAATGAGTAAATAAATCAATAAACCAATCAGTGTGCATCACGAGACTCAGATGCATGTTCCCTTGAGCAGCCGACTGACTATGTCACTCGTCATGTAATTACAGTTTTCTCACGCTGGGCTCTATCACACAGGATCTGTTTGCACATGATCTCTTCCCACAAGTTGACATGAGGTACATTTGGCTCCTGTCAGCAGTATTGTTTGTGTTGTCCTAAAAAGAACTATGTGTTTTTCCATTGCCATCTCTGCCGTTGTTTTCTGCTGCAGTTATGGGAAAACCACTGAGATAGTTTGCTCACATCTTTAAGGAAGCTCTTCCAACAGAAACAATGTCAAGGCAGGTTATAATTCAGGGTGAAAACCGCTGGATTTTCTCCATCATCGTGTTCAGGATCCTGCAGGCTGGAGCATGAATGTCCAGAGCTGATTATTTATCAAACACACATGTACAAAAAGAGGTAGAAACTGAGAGCATGTTGGGTGTAGCTACTGTAAACTGAATCATATAGGGTCACTCTGCACTCTGGCATCACGACTAGAGTTTGAAGACTAAATTTAAAGGTAATTACTATGACAGTGAGGAGAGAAAACTGAAATAACCCGGAGCTTTTCAAATCTGTCATTATCACTGGAATTATAATGACAAGGTTTGGGTCTCTTCAATGGACTTGTTGGGGTAGGACACCCACAAACATGGCATTCCTGAGGGCAACATTGCAGCATATTAATGATACATAGCAGAGTGTAGATTACAAAGCTGGGGTCCCTTCTCATGCTTTACGGTTTCAGTTAACTTGAAACGAAATACCAGACCTTGAAACGAGTGCTTGTTTTACACGCTGTGTGTGTGTGTGTGTGTAATGTGCTGTGTCATGTCTTAGGTATAAGCTCACACAGCAGTGCATATTTCACCATCTCAACAAGACCTTTCAGCATTAAATTTACATTATCTTTGATATAAGTTACTCTTGTTTGATTGGATATCTGCTTTAGAGAGATATTGCTGCTGCTGCAGCAGCATCGTTTTACAGTTGCAAAATGAACGTAGGTGTGTGTGATTCGCCACAGAAACCCTCACTGTACTTAAGTGGATTATGGCTGCCCAAATATTGCACATTACAAATATTACTGGCAGCATGACACATAGGATCTGTCTGAACATACTTTAAATGGTTTTAAAATGAGCTCACATGGCAGATCAAGAGCTCAGTAAATCCTCACAGAATAGTTTTTATTTCTGGCTTTTATTAATCTCCCCTCACACGACTGGAAAACCAAGACATCCACCAGCGCAAGACAGCAAGAAGTTCTGCACATGCACACTTTGATAGGGGCAAACGACCATTCTGGTAAGCCGCAAGATTGAAAAAAGTGACCGCAGTATTTACAAAAAAGGAAGGAGGAAAGAAAGTCCAATATTTTTAGTCTAAATTACAGTGTTGGAACAGTGCTTTGCACAGTTGAGTGTCCAGGGAGTGGAATGGCATGATGGGCCAACACTGCTGCCAGGCCCCACCCTCCCCACATTGTCCTCACCGTGGAGTTCCTGCTCTCTAACAGCACACTTGCCCTCTTCATACCCTCCCGGCATCTCATGCGAACAGCATCATTTCTGGCAAAATTGTTGCTGGAGCTGAATCAAAGAGGAGCAGGATTGAGACAGGGTCAGTTTACCAGGGATCTCTATTTTGTCATCTTTCTGCTGATGCAAAGTGTACAAATTTCACTTCGTATGAGGACGTTTTGCTCTGGTGTGAGGCATACTTGATGCATCTGCATCCTGCTACAACGAGCAATGCTTGAGAGGGACAGAATTAGCTTGTGCCATGCCAATCTCCCACCAAAACTGGAGAAACAGCTACTCTTGCTTTTCATGCATTCTCTCTTGAAACGTGCCTCGCAGCCTAAACATTTTTCCCTTGGAAACCCTGTGGTTAACACAGAGATGAGTAGGAGTGAGATGATTGCTGCAACATTCTTTTAATGTTTATGCCCACTGGAGAGAGCAGGTTGAATTTTCATTTTTGAAAGTTGATGAAATAGCTGCAATGGATTGTGAAAAGAAGGTTAAGGATTTTTTGGTGGTGATTCATGCTGCACAACTTGCTCATTAGAGCATTAGCTTTAAAGTTGTCGTTTTAGCTTTGTAAACATTATATTTTATGCATTTTCAAAGAAAGCTCCAAAGCCCAAATTAGATGACGAGTTTAAATTAGTGGGATTTTCCTGCGTTTGAAAAAGATGATGTCATTCTCCTGCCTCAGATTTAACCCTCCTCCACCTCATTCATTAAAATTAAAAGCTTTAAGCTCATACTCTGTGCCTATTTTTTGTTTGTTCTTGAATATTGCATAAAGCAGGCCTTACATATAGTCCCTTCAACATCTTAGGTCATTTTCTTCTATTCCTTTTGCATGATGAAGACATTTGTAAAGTAAAAAACACCTTTTTTAAACTATATAAAATATCAGAAACATTAAGAACTAAAGAAAAATTATTGTTGATGTTAGTTTCCATCCATTTTTCAGAAAACAAAGAATCACGTTTCTTTTTTATTTTTATTTTGGTAAGACAAAAATATTATTGCTACATACGATGATAAACTGTATTTTAAAGAATCTGAATAAAAATGCAGTCTTCCACTTCATCAACTTAGCAGTAATGTTTTTAAAGTGCTTTTACCACACACAATCCAGGTGGTGGTGATTCCACATTAGAAAACTTGTTTAACAGAGAAATTACTTTTATTTTAATGTCTCGTGGCACCCCCCTGGACCATGCCTCCCCGAGCAGCGAGCCACATTCAAAAACCGCCAATAATATAAAAATATGTCACTAAAGAAGCTCAGTTGTGGTCTTTAAGATAAATTTCTCCACAAGCCACAAGACATGAATTCATAATCCCAATATGTGTGCACATTTTAAAAGACTAACATTGGTGCTGCTAATTTCTATAAATGTGGAAGCAATCAGCTTTGCTTTTATATCAGCCAGAAAAAATACATCACATACAATTTAAGCAAAAATTAAGCACTTATGAAATTACAAAAGTTCAAAAAGTAACAGCGTGAAGGAATTTTTGCAGGCATTAAGTATTTCAAGACCATTTCTTTCGACCTTATCAGTGAGAGCAATTCATTTTTTACACCTTGAGAAACCCCTTCCCCTTTCATATGGGGATTTTCTTTGGCTTCAGTACAGTCAGTAAGTATGAGCAGAAGAAAATGCAGCCAACAGTAATGCTTCATTTAAAAGAAAATGAAAGAAAAGAGGGAAATACAGCTTGGTAAGCAGGTAGAGTCCTCAGCTCTGCTCTCAGGGAGGTGGGAGGGTTGGGGACTACTGATGGAGTTGGGATGTACCGGCACAGGATTGGTGGATGGCTGCTCCAGATGTGGCTCCATGCCAAGCCCTTATGTCTTTATATACTGTAATCAGATGAGGGGACAGCCCTGAGTGAGCATCGCACCCACTCTGCGTCTTTCCTGCAGCTCCCCTGGTCTCCAGCATCCACAGGTCTTCTCCTCTGCACCCCAGGCTCTGAACACAATGGCCAAGCAGACCCTCATCCTCAGTCTGTGGCTCCTGGCTGGGAGCCTCTTCACCGAGGCGACCTACTACCGCCACCACCGCTACATCCCACACTTCTACCGCTACAGGGAGCCCTCCACCAACACAGAAAACCTCCTGCCCGACGTCGCAAACCCGGCGCCCGAAGTCTCGCAGTCCGGCAACCCGACCTACCCCGAGGTCCCCGAGGTGTTCCACCCGGCGCCCGAAGTTGTCCACACTATCCCAGAGGCTATCCACCCGGTGCCCGAAGTCGTGCATCCGGCACCTGAGAGCCATCACGTGCTGCAGGTCCCCGACAGAAATCGTGACAGTCGGGTTTTTTACGGGATCATGTTTGATGCTGGGAGCACCGGGACCAGGATCCACATCTACAAGTTCATTCAGAAGGATCCCGGTGAGTGCACTGCCCTCTCAGAACAGCTGACTCCCACTCTGTTTGCTGTTAGGTCATTCGCTGTGTGGTGTCAGGACCAACGCGCACCAGCAGAGTGCATGGGAAATTTTTAAACAGGCAGGAGGTGAACTTTTGATGAGTTTGTGTGAGTCAACTGTAGGAAGCTTTAAATAATTAAAAATGAGCCTAAATGTACATGAAAGTCCATGCAATTAGAAAGCAGAGCGGCCAAAAATGCAGAGTAAATAATAATAATAATAATAAAAACCCTCTAACTTGTAATATCTGTTCCGTGACTTTTTTGTAGTTGAGCTGCCTGTTCTGGACAATGAAATGTTCCATGCAGTGAAACCTGGACTGTCTGAATATAAGGACAACCCTGAGGAGGTATGTATGCATGTTGGCACCATCACTTCATCTTTTTATAGGGAGTTGCTCACTGTCACTGAACCACTAAACCACTTGGATTTTCATTGGGTTGGGTTTAAGTGATGTAAACCCTTTGTAATTCCAAAATTGCTGCTTCAGCTCTCCATGTCTGATGATTTCTCTTTTCATTTCTGCACAAAAAGTTACTGCTCTCCAACCTTGCATTCTTGGGGCATAAAGAAATTTCCGACTCATTCGCACACTGATCCCATGAACACACTCACGCAGTCGCTTTAAGGAACTGTAGTCATGTTTTTTCTTTACAGAAATTTGGTAAAGAGATATTGTAGCGCTTCAAAGTCTCAGCTAGGGGGAGCATACAAATAATGAATAAAAGGAACCCGAGAATGGAACTTGGAGGAACCCCATGGGCAATCTTTGTTTTCTGAGATTTATATTTGGTATATGACACAAAGTGGTCCATTTCAGCCAAATAAGATTAGAACCAATTCAACACACCACTCAGTTTACTGGCTTATGAGCCTCAATATGAAGAGTCACACATTCCTACCATGGTTATTTTGAAAAGTTTGAGAATTACTGCCTTTGGAAAAAAATAAAATCAAACAAGATCAGCTATTAACTGTTCCAGAGAGAGAGAGAGAACATGATAAATACACTCTATAGTTAGTAGCTTAAGTTTATAACATCTTAAATGTAGAACTTCATTTATAAACAGTAGGAAAGAGTTAGTGTCTTACATGGAGCTTTGCTAATTGTCCCCAAACCACTTGGGTTTTCATTGGGTTTGTTTTATATGATGTAAACTCACTGCATTTTCCAAAATAGCTGCTGCTGCTCTCTCCTCTAATGTTTTTTTTTTTTTTTTAATGTGCATTAATTAAAAGAACAAAACACATTGTTGTCTTCTGCAGGGTGGGAACACCATCCGCCAGCTGCTGAAGATTGCCAAGAAGACAGTGCCAGAGGAGGAGTGGAGGAGGACGCCGGTGGTCCTGAAGGCCACGGCCGGTCTGCGCCTGCTGCCCCTGGAGAAGGCCAGTGCCCTGCTGAAAGAGGTGAGGCACATTTTTGCTCTGCCATCGGACAGCTTAGCTCAAACCCCAGACGTCCCACCAGGGATAGGGATGAGAAAACCACTAAGTGCTTACAAGTGACACTGAGCAAAACAGCAGCAAGTCTGCCCATTTGGTGGTTATCATGTTGCAAAGAACAGCTGTTGTTGGGTTGTGTGGAGCAACCATATTTGGCATTTTAAGTATTATCCAGGCTTCTGTTCCAGCCATGTTTGTGGTTCAGTTGTGTGTCACTCCAAAACAGTCTGCCAGACTGCAATGTTTGTAAATCAGGTTATATTTACTTTTTTCATTTTAGGCAAAATTAGATTACTCAGGTAACTGTTGCTCTCATAAAGCAAACAGCTTTGCTGAAGCTATGATAAATCTATCCTGCAGGTACGAGAGGTTTTTGAAGAATCACCTTTCTATGTGCCAGAGAACAGCGTTTCAATCATGAATGGAGCGAATGAAGGTGAGTAAACTTTATCTGAGTCAACTTTTGCTAAAGCATTAAGACCAAAGACCGAAAGGCACCTTTAGATTATTCTGTACATAATTATCAATAAAAAATAGGGTGATTAATGTAATTATTTTTCTGCGTGTGATTTTAGGAGTCCTCGCCTGGGTCACAGTGAACTTCCTCACAGGTGAGGCATTTGTGAAGTTTTCTATGCTGGTGTTAGAAGTTGCAGGAGACACTTAGATTCTCAGTCTTGTGTCCTAGACCCCAAATGAACAGCAAAACATGCATTATATTGTTACACTGCTGTGGTTTTAATCACATTTATCAAAAATAAATATATGTTCTCTGCCTTGTTGGACACAATTTTAATCAGTATGATGGTGCTAGTGACTATAATTAAAAATCCTGACTAAAACTAGAACATTCCTGTAGAATATTTGATGGTGCCTGCCACTTGGTGTGTACTGTCAAACACCTTGATGCCTTTTTACTGCTGGGTTACATCACTTTTTAGCCTTATAGCCCGATTGTAATAATTGTACCCATAAAGAGCAAGACTGAAATTTGGAAAAGTATCTTTAAGCCTTTTATTAAAGGCCTACCAATGACATTTTTTTTCAGAACTTCAATTATGTAACATATGCATTTTGAAAAGCTTTGGAAGTTTTATTAGAAAACAAACAAACAAAAAAAAACAACAACAAAGCTAATCGTGTTGATTTCTGCTTTAGACCAATTATGTGTTTAAAACCTACTCTTGTGATATTCCAACTTATATGTCTCCTTTTTTAAGAGTGTCTGCTTGCTTTAGTTAAAATACATCAGTAAATCCATTTTGCATTTCTGATTTAAGCTCTTTAGGAATTTGAGTACTTTTGTAATTTTCATTTTCCTTATAAAAGTGTGAGACTCTTATTATGAAGAGTTTTTGTGAGCTTTACTTTGAAAGTCAAAGTTTCAACCTACGACTTGTAGAATTTCTTGTTTCCAAAAAGCAAAATCACAAAATATCCAATGGTCTAAACAAATGTCTGCCTCACTTATTACTACACCTTCAACATTCAATACAATGCCCCATCGACCTTCATCTAACTTGATTTATGCCTCCTTGTTCTTGTTTTTCAATAGGCCATTTGTATTCCAACACCAGGAGGACAGTGGGGATTCTGGATTTGGGTGGAGGATCTACTCAAATCACTTTCCTTCCAAAATCAAAGGTGAATGAAGTCATTCATGTGCAAATTAAATAAGTTCAAGTCTTTTAGAACTGACTAACACTTGTCTTTGATCCACCAGAAAACAATTGAAGTTGCTCCGAGAAGTTTCACAGCCAAATTCAACCTGTTCAACCACACATATGAACTCTACACACACAGGTAAATGACTTGGCAAATGTGGGATTAAAAAGTAAAGCATGGATACTTTACTTATTCTAAATATGTGCCATATTTACATAGCTACCTTGGAAATGGACTAGTTGCCGCCCGCCTCGCAACACTTGGAGCACTAGGAGCCGATGGTAAGTCATATTCATTTTACTATGTATGCCTTGTGCATTTGCTCTGGGAAATGCTCAGTGTCAGGCAAAAATGTTTATTGTTTCTGCTTTCCCAGGACTGGATTGGAAAGTCTTCACTAGTTCCTGCCTCCCGAAAAAATACAGAGAAGAAGTGAAATTTGGAGGGGACAGCTATAAAGTTAGCGGGATTCCAGGCGGTAAGATAAAAGCCTCCTGAGGTTTTGAATGCTCTCCCATTGTCCTGACTCCAACAATCCATACATTCCTCTCTCTAAAGTCTGGAACCAAACAGAGTACAGTACAATACAGTCTCACATGAGAGCACATATCAGCCAATGCTCGTTTAATCTTGGCACCAAACACATGTTTTATCGTTCTCTCTCTCTTGAACAATTAAACTGTCGTCAACCTTGTATTTAGATGAGAGTGAAGACTGTCAGTTAACTTCACAAATAAGCGAGTCACTCCCATACCACAGCCAAGCAGCCAAACGTTGCCAGGTCATCTCTGAGTTGTTATATTTTTCATTGCAGAGAGATCATTTTGACCTTGGCCTGGTCACAATTGTGTGTTTCAAAATAGGCGGCACAACTGGACTGTGCTAGCTGTCACTCCTGTCAGCACATGGTTTTGCCGGCACAATTGCACCAACTGTTCCCATGGGGCCGTGTGAAAGTTGTCCTTCTGGGGCTTTCCTTTAGATAACGTCTGGTGAGCCCCGAGTTTCACCCGCCCGCTGACCTCGGAGTGCGGCTTCCAGCTCTCCTAGTTGCATTCCATCCGTCTTTGCTTTCCAAAACTCTCTCTTTTCTTCACTTCCCTTAATGTGAAGGAAGACCACTCTTTAAACCTCTGCTGTCTTGTCTTGTTATAGGATATGCAGGCTATAAACTGTGCTACTACGAGGTCATGAGGGTCGTCAAGGGAAATTTTCACCAACCGTACGAAGTGAAAGGCAGCAGCATCTTCTATGCTTTTTCCCACTACTATGACAGAGCTGTGCAGACCGGCCTCGTCAGTAAGTGAGAACAGACCTTTGAGCCACCTTCCAGCGTCATTATCTTTTATGCTAATTATAATCTCTTGCACAAGGTTGGTATTCAAATTGCACGTTTGTTTTTGTTGCACACCAGGCAGTCTAGGTGGTGTGGTTGAAGTAAGAGACTTCAAGAAGAAAGCCAAAGAAGGTAAGAGTTACACCATAACCTCCTTAAAGTAGTCAAAGGGGTTGGGAAGGATCTTTACAAATTAAACAGTCCTGATCTAAAAGAGGCAACAGTTTGTGTACATCTCAGGATGTCAGGAAGTTAGACTGAGAGCTGATGGGTATAAAAAGCTACGGCCATATCACCTTGCTTAGTTCTGGTCCAGAGAACATTCAGTAAACGAGTAACCTGACAAACTTCCTGAAATATATTTAGGACAAGGATCATTCAGTACCATATAGACCAATGAAACTACTTTAAATTCAATACTTTTAAAGACAGTGGAGTGATTTATGAACTCCTGTTCTATCACACACTTTCTTGTTGTTGGTCAAGACTTTGGCAGCTGCATTTTATATCAGTAAAATACCCATGAAAATATTCTAACATACTAAAAACAGCATACATTGGTGAAAACTATTATTCTGAAAGAAAACTATTATCCCAGTGTTCTTAAAATAGAAGCAGGGTGAATTGGTAATGGACTCTATGTAGATGCTACATTTTACTTACATAAAGACTTAGATTTCCTCTTGGTTGGATTTGAGGGACCAAGAACAATGATTTATGTCTTTCCTGTATTAAGGTGGAAATAAAACTAACACCTCCAGTGAGACCATAGAAACATTGAATCAGTGATTATAATAGAATGGGGTGATAAGGTGGGATGGAAATATAATGTATTTAATTTGCATGTATGAAGTACTGCAACAGAGAACAGAGCCTTGGAGAATCCAACATGTGATTTTTGATCACTAAGATTTTTTTATTGCCAAATATCACTGATCTAATGCAACCACAGTACTACAATATCATACCCTTGTCACAATATATCAGCTTCCAGACTACAGCCCCCAGTATCAGGGGCCCCAAGTCTCTGCCACAGGAATTTTGTGGCTTTGAAGTTGAAAAGTTTGGGAACCACTGCATTAGAGGGTGAAATCTATGTTTCTGATTTAAAATGTCACCCAAAAAAAACTCTGAAGAGGCATTTTTGTACCTCAAATGACAGCCAAATAGCTCCATTTCTCCAGCCAAGAAAGAAAAACTTCCACACGTTACGGTGATCAACTTAACTTTCTGACCACCGTAATGTAGAACCTCGCTTTTAGCCAACAGGAATGAGTCGGAGAGTTACATAACACTGTTTGTGTTGTGAGAACACTGTCACATGGTCTCAAGAAATGAGTCTCGCTCAAGTTCAGCTGGCGAGCGAGCTGAAGGTGTCTGCAGGTCCCAGGCAGGAGGGCACCTGGCAGATACACACCACCTGGATGCTGGAACACGCTGACACACACACAAACACATGCCTGGCTGCTTAACACCACCACCCGCAGCCTTGTGCTGACCCCCGGCCGTACTCCTCACACCTCACTGCGTATGCAGACACACATAACAGAAAGGTCATTCTGTCAGGGGTCAGAAAAGGTCTCCCCTGTACTTCTTTATGGATTGTCATTGAAATATTGTTTTGAATATGTGAAATATGCATTTTTTTTTTCTGTATTTGTAGTGTGCAACAAAATGACCAAATACCGTGCCATCAGCCCTTTCCTCTGCATGGACATGACATATATTACTTGCCTGCTAAAGGAGGGCTTTGGCTTCAAGGACAGCACCGTGCTGCATGTAAGTGACTCAGGTTACCTACTGCAATGCAATGTCATAGTGTCCCTGGATTCAAACATTGAGAAAAGTTTCTGTATTTAGATGGAGATTCTTATCTTACGGTTTTTTTCCCCCTCAGCTGGCGAAGAAGGTGAACAATGTGGAGACCAGCTGGGCTCTGGGGGCGACCTTTGACTTCTTCAGGAACTTCAACATCCACCAAGACTAGCTGCAGTCGCTGCCGCTGGCACTGAGAGGGACAGTCTGTCACTGTGGGGCCTCCTTTCCTCTGACCACCCAACCTCCTCAATTCTTACTAAAACCTCATCATCCTGCAAACACTAAATGAACTCTTTTTTTTTTTAAGAAAAAAAAGAAGAAATCACTATATTTTTATAAGGCCAGCTTTTTCTACTGTATATCGAGCTCATCGTTGGTGGGTTGACTTTATTTTTTATAAAACGTTTACATGTTTCCTAATGGGTGGCGGACCTGAAATGTCTTTCTGGCCAACCTGTAAAGGGTAAAGAGGGAAACTTTGGAGGCAGTGATAGGAGCCATGGTATTTTGGTGCTTACTGTGGTCCTGGTGTGCGCTGTGCAGAACAGTGGAATAAATTTAGACAATAGTTGCCGGAGCCGCAACCACAATTGTCTTTCTAGATGCTTGTAAATCTGTTCTCTTTTTATTCTAGCTGTAAATCTTTTTTTTTTTTTTTTATACACAGGGGCCCAGTTAATTTGCTCTTGCCATTAGACAAATAAGACATCATTGGAAACAGAGCAGTTAACTACCAGACAGCTTCTTTTTCCTCAACATCGCACAAAACACTTTAACTGCAGTTATTGTAGCCAAGACATGACTATTTGCTTTGACTTCCTTTACAGAGTTGTATATATTTATCATTATTTGGGTTTTTTCTTAAAAAGACATGCTGTAGGAAAATGCCTCTAACATTGAATGAACCAGTATAGTCTGTTCCACCAAGTGCAGGAGAGAAAAAATATATTTTATCTTATTTTATTGTGACTCTGGAAGCCACTCAAGGATCCAGCAGCATTGTCTGCAGCCATTTAATGATACATAAACCCAAATTACATAAAACATGTCTGGGAACTATGCTTTCTTTACTTTTTGTGAATTGTACAAATATTTAAATAGTTGAAAGTTTATTATTTTTTATTATCTGTACTCAATAACATGTTACTGCTCTTCCTACAATATCCCGTGTTTTCATTATTCACCATATTCAGTTACTACTGCTGTACATACACAATGTAAACTTAGTGAAACTGTTTTTCAATATTTACAAAATAAATTGTCATGGCGCACAATTTCCAAGAAATATTTGTCAGTATAAAAAGTCTGATGTCTGATCATTTGTACATTGTTTTTAATAAATGTTGTGACAATAACCAAATAGGTATGTTTTAATAAAACATGAAAATGTGCTTAGTGTCATGGTGCCGTGTGTTAGAAAACTGCAAAATCATCAAAATGTTCAAAAAGTAAAACTTCTATAACAGATAGATTCATTTCACACAGAGTGCTTTTTAGGCATTTATCATTGTTAGTTTTGGCATAAAGCTAGTGAAAAAACAAGAACATAATAACCAAAAGGGATTGTTAAAACTGAAAGGTAGCAAAGACCACTAGAGATCATTGCTAAGGCAGCTGGATGTTCAATGTTTTAATGGAAAGTCGGGTGGAAGAAAAAAGTTGCAAAAGTAACAGGAATATTGACTTCAGGAAGCTTGGGAAGCAAAACCTACTCATACTCGAGATGTTTAAAGCATAGACTGGAGACAGTGTTTCAAGAGCCACTACACAGACATATTCAGGACTTAGGAGAACAGGGACTGGAAAGTTGTTCAGTTATTTGAAGCCCTGTTTTGAGAGGAAAGTCAATTTTGCATTTCATTTGGAAATTATGGTCTGAGAGTCTGGAGGAAGAGTGGAGAGGCACATATCCAAACTGCTTGAGGTCCAGCAGGAAGTTTCCATTGTCCGTAATGATTTGGGGAGCCATGTCATCTGCTTATGCCGTAAAGAGGAAGATGAGACACTGGACCCAGCATGGCAGCTTAAAGCTGCTACTAAAGCAACCTGGGCTTCCTAAATACCTCAGCAGGTTCATAGGCAAAATGCTTCCATGCCACGCCACACTGATGCAGTAACTTGTGGAAAGGGAGCCTCGAAAAATTGCATATACTGAATATATGTATGGCTATTGTCTTCAGTAGGCTGTGTACTAGAAACCCTTTTGTATGTTCTTATGTAATACTCTAATGTTCAGAGAAAGTGAAGCCATCAAAAATGTACAGAAATAAACACTTCAAATCTATCACTCCGTATACAATGATCAAGTTGAGCTTTGTATTTTGAACTAAATTACTGACATTCATTATAACTAATTTAATGTGAAGTCCCTGTAGTTTGATTCATTTTCCTTAACATCACGCACAAAGAAGACATACATAATGAGGCTTTAATTTTATTTTTACATTCATCTTTACAGCTTTTAAAGCTCAAAGTTCAGAGAAGACTGATGACGACGTCCCTGCAGGTGCATCATTTGCTTGCGTATGCCATGATCTGCTCCTGAAAGAGGAGATGAGGCACAATTTTACAAACAACATACTTCACAGATGCGTGTTAGGACAGAGTCGCGCCGAATGTAAACTCGTGAACTCGCAGGATTTAATATGGAAAAAAATGTCACTTTTAACTTAGCGGCTCCACAGTGAAACGCCTTCCTGAGCAGTTACAGTCGTGTCGGTCTGAATCACTTAGTAGGAAATAAAGCCGTTTCACATGAGCGGTCACTAATAAAAAGGAGTGTGAAAACGCAAGCCAACACCACTGTCCGCTGCCCCGGGGCCAACAGTGCACCCCACCCACACACTTTTGGTAACACTAAATTTGGGGCTAAACTTAGATGCTATAGTAGTAGGTTCAGAGCCCTTAAAATTATAGACATGGCTACAGTAAAGCTCCATGTAATCAGAACAGAGGGCGGAGGGTGGGGCCACAGAGTGGGCGGAGCTTTTGGGTTGACAGGTGGTTGATGTTCTCAGGTTGGCTCAGTAGAAGTGGAAGCTTACTTTTAGAGTCGGGAGCATGTTGGTGGCCTGCAGACCGAAGGTGCGTAGGAGAACCGCAGGAGCTGCGTTGGTGGAGTAAAGACGCTTCATGAGGTCGATGGCAGTCATCATGGGCAAATTGTGCCGCTGACGTTCCGTCTCGTATTCTAACAAGTGCTGTATGGCTCCTGTGTGCAGAAAATCTTAAGAGTTAAAGCACTTCAGAGATTAAGCCTTGCTCATATTATAGTTTTCAGTCAGGTGGAAGCTTGCAGAATTTTAACGAATTGGTATGTAATGATTATTTGTTTGCTTTTTTTGACCTTCGGTATTTTTGCCAATGCCTGCTAGTTTTTAAAGTGAGGGTACTGCTCGTTTTGTTCCTTTGTTACTATTAACGCCTTGCAAAAACATTCACACACCCTGAATTTATTAATGACTGTTCACCTTATAATCACAGTTTTCAGACTGTTTATTGGGATTTTATGTGATAGTCTAACAGAAAGTAGAGCATAACTGTAAAATGGAAAGCAAATAACAAATGGGTTTTAAAATTTATTACGCACTTTCAGTCAATATTTTATAGAATCAACTTTTGTTGCAATTTCATCAGCAAGTCTTTTTAGGTATGTCTCTGTCAGCTTTGTACGTCCAGAGCAGGGTTCTGCAACCTGAGGCTTCCAAAACAAAATATAAATTTTGTACCTATTTTTTTTCTCGTCTTAAAATAAAGGAATAATAAAGGTTCTTTTTTGTCTAAAAATTACAACTAAATTTATATAGTCGATATGTATCTTTTTCAAAAAGGTGACATATTATGAATGAGTTTTATTTCACTGGACTGAGGGTGAAAATGACTCTTTGGATTGTAAAAGTTGCAGACAGACCCCTAATCTAGAGCCTGAGCTTTTAAGATCAGTTAGACTAGATGTATATCACGATTCAGAATATCGCAAAAATAATTTCAATTGAAATTAAGTGTAGACTTTGACTAGGCCGTTCTAGAACATGAATATGGTTTGACGTAAACTGCTCTGCTGTAGCTCTCGCAGCACATTTAGCAGTTTACGTCAAACCATATGAACCTCCACCTCTGTCTCAAGACTTTTGCCGTGTTAGACATGTTTTCTTCCAGGATAACCCTGTATTTAGCCCCGTCCATCCTTCCTAAAGCTTCCCAGCAGGATGCTGCTGCCACCACCACGTTTCACTGCAGGGAAGGTGTGATAAGCACTGTTAGTTTTGCATGTTGGTCAAAAACGTTCAATTTTGGTCTGATCTGCCCAGAGAACATTCTTCCACGTTAACCGTTTCTGTTTTCCCGGAATGGATTTTGTTCGGCTTGAAACTCGAGATCTCTTGTGGCTTTCCTTTCTGTCAGCAACTTTCTTTTTTACTTCTGTTAGCAACTCTTCCATAAAAACAGGTTTGCAGAGTGCAAACTAATAGGTGTCCTGTCAACAGATTTTTCCACCTGAGCTGTGATTTGCGCAGTTACTCCAGTGCTCTGTGAGGTGATTAAGGTTTGGGATATTGTTTTGCAACCTATGCCTATCTTAAAACTTCTCCATAACTTTATCTACGATCTGTCTGCGGTATTATTTCTTCATCATGTTCACTAATGTTCTATTGTGGCTTCCAACGGTATTTTGATGCAGTGGATTGTATGTAGGGGTATTAGAGTAAAGGGGATATGCCAGAGATTTCAGATTTCTATTTGGACAAACTTTTGGAAACCAGAAATCATCTCCTTCAGAGTTGCACCCAACTTTGTGTTGGTCTATTTAATAAATTCTCAATCCAATATATTGGCTTTAGTGGCGGTAACAGGACAAAAATGAGAAAGCCAGAAAACCTGCTTATTTTTAAAGATTAGTACTACACGTTGTGTTGGAACAGCGGCCATGGAAACGAGCTCAGAGCAAACCACATGTTGTCTGTTTAAAGTTCTCACTGACCCAGGTCCTTCCCATTAAAAGCTGCCTGGCTCAAGAGATGTGTGAGGCAAGCCACATCCCCGAAACCCAAGTTGACTCCCTGACCTGCCAGCGGATGGACACGATGTGCTGCATCTCTGAAAACACAAACATACCATCGTGGACATCATGCTGCTCCACAGACAGTCAATATTTCATGCTTTCATACAATAAAGAAGCTAAAAACAGGTACAACGTTTAAAAAGCAGATTTTTTTTTGGGGGGGTGGGAAGCCATGATGTGCAGAGTATTCTCGTCTTACCCGATGAGAGCCACTCTGTGCCTGATGTACTCTGACGCATGACCGACTCCCAGCGGGAACATGACTCTGCTTTTCGGGCCGATCCCCGCCACACTCGGTGGAAGCTGCCGTGGTGAACCGGCGGATGGCATGATGGCTGACAGGGCGCCCCGGAACAAAGCGCCGGCTGTCTCAATTAGGTCTGACTGATTCTCATTGCTCCACTGTCACAGACATATTCACACAGAGACAAAAAACAGGCATTATTCTCATGAGTGGACAGAGAATCTAGTTGACACAGGGAGTAAGAAAAAAAAAAACTTGAGGCCAGCAAAATAGCTCCCACCCCCTCCTTCCTAACTAACTGGTTTGGCAGGGCCTCAGGAGCTCGGCTAATTGAAAGAAGATGCCGGCCAGGCAATGCAGTTGAATTAGCTCTGTTTGAAAAACATTCCATGCAGTAATGGTCGACACTGGAAGACCACAGGTTTAATTAGCAAACCAGGCTTAAAACCAAGCGTGACTCAGTCGTGGTGACCCCATCCATCAGGAGGGCGAGTAAAAATAGCCACCTTGGGAAAACGGAGGTTCTCCCAAATGTAGAAAAAACACACAAAGGTATATCATTCCTGCAGGGAAACTATTATTATTATTCTATTTGGTTTTGGCCCAAACTTCAACGAAGATGTTTGTGTGAGTCACTCAAAAGGAGGTCAACATGCAGGTGTTTGGAGAATCCCCCCCACAAGCAAAGACAGAAATGTTGCAACATCTCACTGGCTGACCTGAATACTGACTGTAAATAAAACAGAAGTGAGACTGTTAGGTCTAAGTTTTCTCTGGACAAATTTATAGATTTAGGGTATATTTCCATGTGAATGTTTATTATTTTATTTTGATTCTTTATTTTTATATTTAGTCATATTTAAATTACAATATCAGACCTATATATATATATATATATATATATATATATGTATATATATATATATATATATATACATATTTATTTATTTTTTTAAAGTTTTATATAGCTTATTGTGTTCACTAATATTTAATACCTGGGAAGGATTCAACAAATTAGTAATTTCCCCTCGTAATCAATAAAGCATAATCTATTCCAGACTCACAAAGGCCGAGTTGATGGCGTCAACGAAGCTCTCCTCGTCCAGCTCCAGCAGCTCCTCTGCAAGGTGATGGCTGGTTGACCACACCAGTGAGCTCTTTGTGTCAGAAAGCTACACACAGATAGCAGCATCATCAGATACTTTTGCAACAGGTGGATACTTTACAAGAAATAACTACGACTGTTAAAAATGAGAAAGATGACCGGTAACATAGCAATGGGTCCAGTTGGGAGAAACCTTTGCCAGGCAACATTGTTCTCTGTGGGCTGAAACACACAAACCAAAGTATTAGTTTTGCTGCAATGTATGTTAAAGATACATTGCAAAAATACTCATAACGCCTGAACTTTGACACATTTCAGGATGTTGCGACCACAAGCAATGTTAAAAGTTGAGGTTTGTTATAAGCACTTGCTTTGCCACAAATTTTCATTTGAATTTAGTTCTGGATTTCGACTGGGTGTCCTTCCAGATGTTTGGATCTCCTATGTAAACTGTGGAAAAAAAAAAACTCTTGCAATTTTCAGAAGTTGGACTAAACAGCTTGAGATGTTGTAGATTTTATTTACTAACTAGATGACCTCTGGATGGGATTGGATTTTATTTATGATTATCATAATATAGAGTAATATATGCATATTCATGCACACCACACTTTTAGCATTTTTATTTTTACTTAAAGGCTTATTCGATTTATTATGCTTCATTGAACAGGTTGCTGCTCATTGAACTGGGTTGCTATGAAACAGTGCCCGTCGAATGTAACTTATTGGGAGGTTTTTGAAATGGGTCATTTTCCAGACACCAAAAAACATCTTGCCAAAAAGCGGTTTCCTGTGTTTTTAGGCACTTCAGCTGTTTTTAGAAGCAGTAGAGAACCAAATGGAAGCATGAAAACATGCAAAATGTGAATTTGCATAACAAGTCCCGTTTAAACCATGTATTATAATTATGAAGCTTTATGTTGGCCTATTACATCAAACCTTAAAAAAGTAATAATACCTCTGACAGATGTAGCACTGCAACCACAGCAGACTGGTCATAGTTCCACTTGACTGTGGGTATTCCCAGTTTCTGTCTCACCATTGAATTTGGCCCATCAGCACCGATCTGCAAAACACAAGAAGAGTAGAAAACTCAGAAGGAAAGGATGTAAAAAATAGTAATTGTTTGTATGGTTCAGTTTGAAATACCAGCAGCTTTGCTTGAAGAGTTTCTCCATTAGCCAAAGTGACCTTCACCCAGGGGATGGACTCGGCTGCGTGATGAGGCATTGGCCATGTGTACTTCACCACCTTAGACTTGTACTTAACTTGCACGTTTTCTGACAACAAGAACACAGAACATGTGACTTCTATATATATATATATATATATATATGCATATACACAAGGAGCCAAAAGAAAACTGTTACTGAAAATACAGCTACAAAATGTGTGAGTTTCTCACATCAAAAGGGGTAAAATTGGCTTTATGAATGCATCATCTTACTAAATCAGTAATTTGCTACTGAAAAGAAAAAAAAAGCGAAAGGAAAGGATGCCTATCTTGCAGCCAAAGTGGGGAAAGATCTATAAACCACCCCATAAAACACTACTGGTTTTCCTCGCTGGCACGTGGTAACTGCCAGGCTTTTCATTTGACAATCTCCTTAATGGCCTTGGCCTGCCGCACTACACTGACTAATAGTGTTTACCTACAAGCACGCCACTCTGCACTTTGGAAATGCTGCCAGCATCTTAGATTTTTACACTAAAGCTGCCACTTTTCCCAAAAATATCAGCATCTGGACATCCCACACATGGAAGGATTCTGGCTCATGCTGACTTGGAGCGCGAGCCAGATCCGCAGAGCAGCTACTGGTTCCTGCAACACGGTTGTCAAATATGGGTTTTCTCTGATTGGATGGAACGCATGGTTACATTGAAAACAGCTGGCGGGGGGACCGCACTTTTTCTTTTTTTTTTCTTGCATGTAACTGCATCTTCAGCATAACACTGTGATGGCTAAAATGAGAGCAGGGACACATGCGAGGCACATGAGGCAAAAAAACGTGCCGCGACCACATGCCCGCCGTTTGGTGTGAAATGTTGAAAACTGTTTATAAATATGTCATTTAAACTGTCAAGCACATAGCAGAGAGTTTTTATTTGCTCAGATGTCAACAGAGCCACACACTGTAAGTGACTGTGTGTGTCGGGAGGGATGGCAGAGCTTAGGAGCACATGGCAACTTTAAATAGGTCACTGGACCAACGCACGTGTCCTCAGAGGGTGCTGAGATGCTGCAAGTCCCAAAATGTGAGTTTTTATTGAATTTGAAGGAAAAACATGGACGGCTCCAAGAGCTTGTCTTTAAAAACACTCATAGAGAAAGAAGACAAATAAAACCAGATGACAGGAAGGGATGCAGGTGGTGCCAAAATCAACGCTCATTAAGCAAACTGGAGAGAAAATCTTGCTACTGTGTGGAACTTCATGTTTTATTCACATTTATTGCAGAAAAAAAAGGTACTAAACATGTCTCCACTGGCTAAATACTTATTAAGACAGACTTTGTTAGTCAACTTTCAGACATTTCCTGCCTGGAGAAATTAGTCTCATCCATTACTGGTGTGATTTTTTTTTTCTTCCACAAAAAAAAAAAAAGTCTTGAAAGTTTTAATCTTCTTCAGGCCTCTTTTATGCTTTAGTTATTCCTAATGTTAAAACTGGGTTCAAGTCAGGTAGTTTTAGCAGATTTACTTTCTTCTTAGACTCCTTAGACATTAATTTGGGGACTATGCTGAGCTTCCACCCATGTTTCATCTTCAAAGTCTCATCAAATAGGTCTACATTCATCTTTCCTCAATTACATCAAGTCTGTGAGTACATTATTGTAAACTGCAACCCCAGACCATAATGTCCCCATTTCCAAACCTCCGTTGGTTGGTTTTTGTGGTGATGTACCCACAAAAACTTCTCCAAACAATGTGTGCAGAATTCAGTGTTGGTCTCATTTCACCAGAATATTCCCTGAACGCTTGATGACATTTCATCTTTTATTTAATGTTGATCAATTCTTGTCTCAATATAGCCCAGAAAAGTCTATTAAAAATAAGAAAGAAGTAGGAGGATAATCAATCAATTTCAACCACCTTTCAACCTCTTTGGACATTAAGAGACATCTTCCTCTGGATGACTTTTTATTTTTAACTACATTTA